TAGGCATCTTGCATTACATGGTTATGTGTATGGGCCTGAAAAATGCGAGCGAAATGTTCTAACGTTTGATGGATGTAGTCTTGGATAGAGATGAATGGAAAGACAGTGCTGTGGCATATCAAGACGATGTGGGTCTCTGGACCGATGGGGGGTTAAAGGATCATATCGATAAATTTGTAAAGCTAGCACAAAGTTTCAAACAAGCGGGGCTTACCTTCGCGGCTAAAAAGTGTCACCTGGCGTACAAAGAGTTGAGCATGTATGGATACATAGTAGGGAAGAATGGTTTACAGGTTGATACAAAGTGTACGACGTTAATCGAACAATGGCAAAGGCCTATCTGTGTAAGGGACGTTAGGTCATTTTTGGGCGTTATGAACTACTATCGACGTTTTGTAAAGGATTTTAGTAAAATAGCAAAGCCTCTTACCGAATTGACAAAAAAGGATGTAGGTTTCCGTTGGTCTGACGAACAAGATAAGTCGTTTCAAACGCTGAAGACTCTGTTGGCAGAGAACGTTATGTTGAAAGCCCCTAACTGGCAAGACGCAAAGAATGGAGTTCGTCCATACCAAATGTATGTCGATATGTATGACATTTCGTTGGGTGTGGTATTGGAACAAGCCGATGAAAATGGAAGGTTGCGACCTATAACGTTCGAATCCCGAAAGTTGAACGCCCATGAGTTACATTATACAGTCACTGAAAAGGAGTGCCTTAGTATAGTTTATGGATGTAATGTATGTGAGCGTTATGTTGGTGTAATGACCTTTGATATCTGGGTGGAACATCAAGCACTGGAGTGGCTTTTTCACAAAGCGCAGTTAAAGGGTTGTTTAATGCAGTACGTCGAAAATTTGTTGATGATGGTTGAGATAGAAGGAACAAAAATGCAAGATTTGGAGGCTATCAAACACTACTTGACCAATTTTGAGTGGCCAGCTCACGTGACAAATGAGTCGCTTCCCCGACTCAGACGAAAATTGAAAATTTATTGTTTAATAGGTGGTCAGTTGTTTCGAAGAGCGGCAAAGGGAAAACCACCTTGAAGGGTAATCTATGACAAAGCGGAAAAGACCCGAATCT